ATTTTTAGGAAATTTATAGAGTTGTGCAATCATTACCAAGATCCAGTTCTAAAATATATTTCCATCACTGTAAAAAGTTCCCTTGGGCTCATTCGCACTCAATCCCCACTCCCACTTCCAGCTCCAGGCAACCACTGATTTGCTTTTGGTCTCTACAGATTTGCAGTTTCTGAACATTTCATATAAGTGGAATCATATGTTATGTAGACTATTGCCTGGCTTCTTTCACTTAATGATAATACATTTGAGGCTTATGCATGTGTAGTATGTAACAGAAGCTCATTCCTTTTTATTGCTGAATAGTCTTCCATTATATGAACATATCACATTTGGTTTATCCATTCACCAGCTGATGGACATCTGGATTGCTTACAGTTTGGGGCTGTTATGAATAATCCTGCCATAAACATTCATGTACAAGTCTTTGGGTGAACATACATTTTCATTTCTCACCATCCATAAAAACCTAGAGTGGAATTGCTGGGTTGAATAGTGTGTGCTTAACCTTTTAAGACACTGTCAAACTGTTTTTCAAAGTGTCTGAAAGGTTTTAAATTTCTTCCAACAAAGATTTTCTCCTATATTTTCTTCTAGTTTTACGTTTTACATTTTGGTGTATGGTCCATTTAGAGTTAATTTCTATATGTGGTGAGAGGTATGGATCCACGTTTTTTTGTGTGTTTTTTTGCATACATATATAATTGTTCCAGGACAATTTGTTGAAAAGATTGTTCTTTCCCTGCCTGAACTGCCTTGGTGTTGTTGAAAAAAATCAGTTGGTCATAATGTAAGGGTTTATTTCTGGACACTCAATTCTACGCCATTGATCTACATGTCTATCTTTATACCAATACCACACTGTCTTGATTAGTGTAGCTTTCATAAGAATGGCTATAGTTTTAAAAATGGGTAGTGTTAGTGCTCCAACTTTGTTCTTTTATAAATAGAAGTAATTTGGGGATGAAGGGGGTAATGGGGAGAAGGGTATGGGGGGGATAAATGATGATGGAAGGAAACTTGACTTGGGGTGATGAACACATGAGTGTGCAGATGATGTGTTGTGGAATTGTGCACCTGAAACCTGTATAATTTTGTTAACCAATGACACCCCAATGAATTCAATAAAAAGGAAAAAAAGAAGTAATTTTGACTACTCTAGGTCCTTTGCATTTAAATATAAATTTTAGGATCAGTTTATCAATTTCTGCAAAAGAGGCAGCTGGGATTTTAATAAATCTTTTGCTTTGAAAGAAAGAAAAAATATGTTAACAGAACATAGTTCATTTGAAGCTTAAACTCCTTCCTTAAAAGCTCTATTTCTGAGTCTAAGGGTCAGAAATATTATTTGTGAGAGCAGATTATTCATGAGAGCTGAGTCTTCATTATTTAAAAGTACTTAAGGTTATGACACCAAAATGTGATTCTATAATACTATACAAAAAGTTTCATCTACTTCTTAATAGAAATGTTGAAGATGCTAAGAGAACTTATGAGACTAACTTACTATGCTTTATACTATTCATTGTTTATTTCAAAATTAAAAAAGGGATTACAGGGAAAATAAATAAATTCATATGTTTAAGAGTTCTTCATGGACCTAAACTGTGATAGGTTTCACCTAGGTTCTTTGATTGAATTTTTTCAAACTAATTTTTCTTATTGCTGTTATACTAACATTATACCTTATATTAAATGATATAGCTACATCATATATTAAATATACTATGCTATATAGTATTATATAATATACAATGTCATCATTATAAATTACAATAAATATATTAAAATATAAGAAAGACATAGCACTGTTGGTGGGAATGTAAATTGGTACAGCCACTATGGAAAACAGTATAGATGTTCCTCAAAAAATTAAAAAAAGAACTACCATATGAGCCAGCAATTCTACTTCTGGGTAGATATACAAAGAAAATAAAATCACTGTCTCAAAAAGAAAGCATAATGCTGCAATAAACATGCACCTCCATGTTCACTGTAGCATCACTTATAATAGCCAAGACATGGAAACAACTTAAGTATTTACTGATGGATAAATGGAAAGAAAAAAAAGACAATACAAAATATATAGATACAGTTATATAGATATAATAGAATATTATTCAGCCATAAAAAAGAAGGAACTCCACCCTGGCTGGGTGGCTCAGTTAGTTGGAGTGTCATCCCATACACCAAAAGGTTGTGAGTTTGATTTCTCGTCAGGACACATACCTAAGCTGTGGGTTCGATCTCTGGTCAGGGCACATACAGGAGGCAACCGATGGATGTTTCTCTCTCACATAGATGTCTCTCTCTCTCTTTCTCTCTCTCTCAAAATCAATTTAAAAAACATATCCTTGGGTAAGGATTTAAAAAAAAGGAAATCCTGCCATTAAAACTGAATCCATAGATACAGAGAACAGATTGGTGGTTGCAGAGGAAGGGGAAGGGGGCAGGGCAGGGGAGGACAAGAAATGGGCGAAGGTGGTCAAAAAGTAAGAACTTCCTTCACAGTCATCAATGCCACTTTAATGATTTGTTTGTGCCTAATAAGTTTTTTTCACAGCAGTCTAACCAAACATAATTAAAATGGCTGATTATGCTGTCGATTCTCAAAAAAACCAACCAACCAAAAAAAAAACACACAAAAAAAAACCTAAGAGCTTCCAGTTACAAGATAATCAAGTTTGGGGATGTAATATATACCACGGTGACTATAGTTAATGAATTGTACTGTATGTTTAAAATGTGTTAAGAGAATATATCTTAAGAGTTCACATCACAAGAAAAAGGGAAAAAAAATTAACTGTGAGGTGATGGATGTTAACTAAACTTATTGTGGTAACCATCTGGCAATATATACATATAACAAATCATTATGTTGTATACCTGGGACTAATACAATATTATGTCAATTATGTCTCCATAAAACTGGACAATCTAAAAATCAAAATTTTTTAAATAAATAGAAGAAATTGGTCCCTTAAATAAAAAGCAAACGGAACCCTGGCTTTACCCTGACGTGGTATCACTAGGTACTACTCAAAGTTTCTGAGTGCTATCACTCAAAACTGCAGTATCAGGTTGACCTAAAGTTAAAAAAGATAGAAATATATTAATGGTCTGTGCTGTTTACTGACGTTATTAACCAAAGTGAAAGTAATCACAAGAAACTAGTCTTCACACACTAATCTTTGCAGATACACGTGTAAGTAACAAGAGTAACTCCATCAACCCTTTTGATTAGTGAAAGTTAGCTTGTGCTTCTTGGTATCGACTGAGGATGGAAGAATAAATAGATTTCTATTGGCCCCTTCCCCTCTTGATATCAGTCTTTCAATCTCTAATTTTAATTATATAATTATAATTTATATTTATCATGTATATAATTACAATTTAGCCTCATAAATATATAGCTTCAAACACACCATTGATTATGTATTATTTTCAAGTCTGTTAAGTTCAAATTAAGCTTTCTATGGGAAGTTGTGGCACTTTGGGAACATTTTCAGACACTTTCTCTTGAAAGAACTGACAAGATAGTGAAAAGAGAAAGGTACTAAACTATGGTGGAAAAGTGGAAGGGTATACATTCATAAATATTTGTTTCTGCATACGAGTCAGGGATAGAAGGACTACTACTTTTATTCACTACGGGTATATTTTAACCTTTCAAAAAATACCAAAAAAAAAACCAACACCTAAAACAAAGGAATATGACACTTCAAGGCATCTGTCTCAAAACCAAGATTAAGACTCTGCTATAGGGTTAAACGAGATAAGCTTGCTTGAAAGAAAGTTACATGTTCTAATAGGGCTTTTATCTTTAAATAAGTTGATTTAAGATTGAGTTCTGCAAAGGTGCATGAAGAAAAATGCTGGGGATAAGAAAAATGTCATTTTATTGACTTTTATCCCCATGTTGTAACCCTAGACTACACACACACCATGCTTGTCGCCTGTCAAATGCTTGGTGGGTGGGGGCAGGGGAGGGCAGGAATAGAAATTCCGAATGACTGCCAAGTCCATCCTTCTTTTAGAACACAGTTCAAAAGGCTTATTTGCCTCTTGATAAGCCAGGGGGGAACTGTATGGCTTATTATTAGATAACCAATAAGTATTCTACCTGTAGAATAAGATAGTATATACAAGCAGATCATTTGTCCTGAAAAAAAGACTTCAGTTTGTTCTTTGAATCTTCAAGGGCTTTTTCCCCCTTCAGTTAATCACAGAATACTAGGTATATTAAATACAAAAATCACTGTTTCTTGAAATACTTTCTCCATCTGGCTTTCAGTGAAGCTACACTTGTTCTTCTTACTCACTGGCTATTCTCAGTCTCCTGTCATTCACTCAAAACTGTCTGTGTGACTTGAACTGGCAACTTAATCTCTCCGGGCCTCCCAACCGAAAAAGACGTTTCTAGCATCGTCACCGCTCACTAAATGAGTTATCATATATTGCTCGTTACTAACTACCACAGAGGCTCGGCGCGGCTCGGCACGTCGGCGCTCGCCCGGCCCGAGGCGAACCCACCACACCTCAGAAGAGGGCGAGCAGTGCCGGGAACGCAGGAGAGGGGCTTGAGCAACGCTCGCCACTGCCGAGCCTGTCCGACAACCCGGGGGCAGTTCCCTACGCCCTCGCGCGGTTCAGGCCAGAGGCCCCGAGCACCTGGCGACCGGTTCCAGTCCCGGCGTGGCACCGCCTCCTTCCGGGAAGGGGCACCCGTCACCGCCCAGCCACTTCCGGCTTGGGGCACCCTCCCTGCCATTTCTAACTGCACTTTCGATGAAACTGTGGTGTCTAATATTTCCCTCTGGCGCCTCTATATTTTCCTCACTTCCCCCTCTTTGTGACTCAAGTTGAAGGTAAAATTTAATCTGGGAGGTATTAAAGACAGGCGTGGCTATGAGAAAAAAGAGCACGTGAGCCGATCTGGCGAAAGTGCCTGGCAGGAGCACATCCGCCCTCTCCTCGCCGGCCGGAAGTTGCGGGACTGAATGGGTCTCGGAGCCGGTAGCTGTATCTGCTCTGTTACCACCTGAGGCTTAGCGGCCGCCTGTCCCGTCAGCCGCTGGGCCACCAGGTTCATGTGGAGGCTCCCAGGAGCCCGCGCCGCGCTTCGTGGGGTCCGCGGGGCCGTGGAGCGGCACAGTCGGGCCCAGACGGCAACTGAGACGGCCACGGGCTCGATGGAGCGCGCTGTAGTGCGCTGTGTGCCCTCCGAGCCTAAGCTAAGCCTGTCGTTCGCGCTGGCCGACGGCAGCCACAAGAACATGCAGCGCGACCAAAGCGAGCCTCTGGGTCGAGCCCTCAGCCGGATCGCCACCAACGCTCTCAAAGGCCACGCTAAGGCGGCGGCGGCCAAGAAGAGCAGGAAGAACCGGCCAAACGCAAGCGGCGGAGGGGCCTGTGCGGGGCCTGGGCCCGAGCCGGCTGCGGCCTGCGAACCGGTGGTGAAGCTGTACTACCGGGAGGAGGCAGTGGCTGAAGACGTGCTCAATGTGGACGCCTGGCAGGACGGCGCGGTGCTGCAGATCGGGGATGTCAAGTACAAGGTGGAGCGCAACCCTCCCGCCTTCACCGAGCTGCAGTTGCCACGCTACATCATGGCAGGCTTCCCGGTTTGCCCCAAGCTCAGCCTCGAATTTGGGGATCCCGCCGGCTCCCTCTTCCGCTGGTACAGAGAAGCCAAACCTCGGTCTGTGGAGCCTGAGGGAGGGGGCCCCTCGTCATTGTCTCCCTCCTCACCCTATCCTAGTTGGACTGAAACGGGCGTGGACGAGCGCGTCTACACCCCGTCCAATGCCGACATTGGACTACGGCTCAAGCTTCATTGCACCCCAGGCAATGGGCAGCGCTTCGGGCCAAGCCGGGAGTTGGAAAGCGTGTGTCCAGTGGAGGCCGGGCCCGGCACTTGCACCTTTGATCACCGGCATCTGTACACTAAAAAGGTAACAGACGACGCTCTCATCCGCACTGTCTCCTACAACATCCTCGCGGACACTTACGCCCAGACTGAGTTTTCGCGGACCGTCCTGTACCCTTACTGTGCCCCTTACGCCCTGGAGCTCGACTACCGCCAGAACCTAATCCAGAAGGAACTCACTGGCTACAATGCCGACCTCATCTGTTTGCAGGAGGTTGACCGCAGTGTGTTTACAGACAGCTTGGTGCCGGCTCTCGACGCCTTTGGGCTGGAGGGAGTATTTCGAATCAAGCAGCAGGAAGGCCTGGCTACTTTCTACCGCAAGTCCAAGTTTAACCTCCTTAGCCAGCATGACATTTCTTTCCATGAAGCCCTGGAATCCGACCCACTTCACAAAGAACTGCTGGAGAAATTAGTTTTGAACCCATCGGCACAGGAGAGAGTGTTCCAGAGATCGTCTGTCCTTCAGGTAAAGTAGCTCCGCCAGTCTTTTTAAGTACTCGTCCATTTCTAGGGTTCTGGAAGGGGAGTAGGGGTGGGGTTGGGGTGGGGCAGCTTCTAATTGAGATGAAACCATCCAGATTTTACTGAAAGGTGTTTGCTCTTTTATCTTTAGCACAAAGGTTAACACTCATTCATTGAGCAAATACTTATTGAGCACTCCGGCGTGCTGAGCACGCAGCAGGCTGCCTTCAACTAGACTCTATTAGTGCTTACAATCTAGTGGGGGAGAGACATGCTAAATACAATAATAATGCTAATAGCTAATATTTTCTTACTACTTGCCAAGAACTGTTCTGACACATTCTAAAGTACTTAAGTGTCTGACATGTTTTACAAAGTGCTCCATAAGTATTAGCTATTATTTTAATTTTTGGTTCATAGTAATCCTGCTATGAACCCAATAGTTCCCATTATTCAGATGTTATCCTTCCCATTTCATAAATGGGGAAATGGCCAAGTTTACTTGCCCAAGTTCACACAAATGTAGAGCCAGGATTCTTACAGTTATAATATTCCATTGTTAGCTGCTTCTTAGCTTAGGCTATCTTAGTTTTTTAAAACATTTTGTGTTTGTCCAGAGGTTTTAGGTAATTGGTTTTGTTCACAGTAAGAAAAGTAGCCACCATTTTTTTCAGCACCTACTGTGTTTCATGCACCTCATGTAAACTCATTTAATTGAATCCACACCATGGTCTCCCTTGAGGGAAGCATGATAATTGCCTTTTTTTTTTCTTCTTTTTTTTACCAGTGATGAAATTGGTTTAGAAAAAAGTCTCTTTTTCCAGATCACACTGCTGTAAATGGTAGAGTGGGTATTCAAATCTAGTTCTACCTCACTTCAAAGCCTGCTCTTATCTCCATCTTTGGTGTTGTCTAAACCAAGAATATATCTAGAGTATATTCTTTTTATATTACCTGTATATGTTGGGCTGTTACTAAAACATGTTACACTTTGCCCTATTCACTTATACAGTAGTCCTCCTAAACCATGATTTTGCTTTCCTTGGTTTCAGTTACCTGCGCTCCAAAAATGTCAAGTGAAAAATTTCAGAAATAAACAATTCATACATTTTAAATTGCCTACTGCTCTGAGTAGCGTAATGAAATCTCACACCTTCCTGCTCCATCCCACTGGATGTGAATCATCCCTTTTTCCAGCATATCCATGCAGCATAGGTTACCTGTCCATTAGTCACCCGGTAGCCATCTTGGGCATCAGATGGACTGTCAGTGTCACAGTGCTTGTGTTCAAGAAACCCTGATAGTTGCCTAACACTGTGCCACATGCCTATGTCTTCACCTCACTTCATACTTCACGTAGAGTGCAATACAATATTTTGAGAGATCACATTACTTTTATTATATATATGCAGTGTTATAATAGTTCTATTTTATTATTAGTTATTGTTAATCTCTTACTGTGCCTAATTTAAAAATTAAACTTTATCATAGGTATGTACGTATAGGAAAAAACATAGTATATATATAGGATTTGGTGTTTTTCATGGTTTCAGGCATCTACTGAGGATCTTAGAATATATCCCCCATGGATAAGAGGACACAACTATATTCAAAAACTCTTAGTCCTGGCCAGGTAGCTCACTCATTTGGTTAGAGCGTCATCCTGATATGCTGATTGCAGGTTTCATCCCTGGTCAGTGGGCACATACAAGAATCAACCAATGAATGCATAAATAAGTGGAACAACAAATCAATGTGTTTCTCCCCCTCCCTCCCCCTAAAATCAATTTTTTTTAAATTAAAACTTTTAGCAAAAGATACATTTCACAATCATGATCATACTTTATCAGTATGGGAAGGATATAGAATAAAATGTTAGTTCATCATATAGTCTTAGATAAAAAACGATTCAGGAGATTGGCAGATAGCAACTGAAGTCTCAGCACTTTCTGTGTTTTAGGTTTCTGTTCTTCAGTCTACAAAGGACTCTTCTAAAAAGATATGTGTTGCTAATACCCATCTCTACTGGCATCCCAAAGGTAGGTTTTATTGGTTTTCACAAGTGACCTAAACATGGTAACTTAAGGTCAATAAACCTGTTTTACACAAATATATATTTTTCTTTCCATTTTGAGATATAATTGACATACAGCACTATACAAGTTTAAGGTATACAACAATGACTTGACTTATATACATTGCAAAACGATTACTGCAACAGGCTTATCTAGATACCAATAAAAGGTGGGGCTTTTTTCTTGTGATGAAAATTTTTAGGATTTACTCTACCAGCTTTCAAATATACCACACAGCAGTGATAACTATACTCATCATGTTGTACGTTAAATCCCCAGTGCTTATTTATCTTATAATTAAGTGTGTACCTTTTGACCACCTTTATCTAATCCCACCCCCACCCCTGGCACAGTCACACACAATACACATCTTGAATGTCAGCCAAATGCTGTAGTTTTTGTCTTCCTTTTTTTTTTTTTTTAACTTAAAGGCAACTTTAAAAAGTTACTTACATTAATGTTTTTTATATTCATAGGTGGGTACATTCGTCTCATTCAAATGGCAGTTGCCTTGGCTCACATTAGACATGTCTCATGTGATCTGTATCCTGGCATACCAGTTATATTTTGTGGGGACTTTAATAGTACCCCATCAACAGGAATGTATCATTTTGTCATCAGTGGAAACATTCCAGAGGATCATGAAGACTGGGCTTCCTATGGGGAAGAGGAACGATGCAACATGTCTCTTACCCATTTCTTGAAACTGAAAAGTGCTTGTGGTGAACCTGCTTACACAAATTATGTTGGTGGCTTTCATGGATGTCTGGATTACATTTTCATTGATTTAAATGCTTTAGAGGTTGAACAGGTGATTCCACTACCTAGTCATGAAGAAGTTACCACCCACCAGGCCTTACCTAGTGTTTCTCATCCCTCTGATCACATAGCACTTGTATGTGATTTAAAATGGAAATAGATTTGTGTTTAATGGAATTTAAGTCTACTTTAGTAAGGGAAATTTAATATAAATCAAAGTTTATGTGTAACCTTCAAAGAGGAAAACTAGACATTAAGTTCTTAGTTCTTACCCTCCCAGTTACATTCTAGTGTCTCCATTACATGACTATTCATGATCTTTGCATAATATAGTTTCTGTACCCTTTTATTCCCCTACACTTAGAGGAAAAACAAATATATTTATGACTGGCAGGGAACATTGAATTATTGTGTACATTTTATAAGTACTTTTTTTTAGCCTCATAATTAAGAATTTTGTAAAAACATTTGAATGATGCTATAATTTTTCTATCATAACACATTTCCAATTGAATCATGTTTATATAATTAGGGGGAAAATGCATATAAGTTAAGGTGAGAGGCCTAAGTTCTAATACATGGGAGGAATAACATTAGGGCCTACCTCTACCTCAATTTGGTTAGCAATTTAATACAACTTCAGAGCTTTAACAAAAGATTAAAATATACAGCACCAATTGTTATTTCTTCTCATCTTTCATTTTTCAATTAACAGTTTCATTGTCTTCTTTTTAGGATTTTAGTTAAGAGTATGGTACAAATAAACCTATTCATATTCTCTTTCTTACCGCAGCTCATTTTAACTTTTAGGATGCAAGCACAATTGAATATTCAAAGTGAATGACAACAAAGTCAACTTGATCCCTTTTTCTTTAATTACTCTTGCCCATGAAAAATGTTCATAAATTAACAGGGAATTTGACCATGTGATCTTAGAGAATACAGCACAATACATTATGAGAAACTGCCTACTGATATGGGCTTTAAATTTTGGATGAACTATTAAGCATTTCTATGCTAGCAGTATTTTTGAAATTGTTGGTTTTATAAATAGAAAGGGCAGTAGTGGGGCTTTTGAGCATCTCGTAAATAAACTATTCCTTTTATAGGCCTGAGCATTACAGTTTGAGTTACAATATTGTATTGAGGTAAACATTGTATATATAATTTATATACTGTAAAAAAAAATTTTAATATGAAGCCAAACTTTCTAAAATTAGAAATTACAGTTTTACTGATTAGTGTCTAGCCTAGAGTGGTAACCAAGCTTTTCTAACTCATTTATCACCATACCAAATCTGTAATGTTTTAGCTGTTGCTCTTTTGATGTTCAGGAAAACCTTAATGTTATCTATCTCATTTCTGCATTTAATTTCCAGCTTAGATATTAAAAGCCCACCCACTTCAAGAAGAGCTCTGATTTTCCACAGTTGTAAGAGCCTTTGTTCCAAATTCTTTCATTTCTAAACATAACACCATAAGAACTTTACTCTTTTAATAAGTAGCCTGTACTTTCATATTCTGCTCACTATCCAATGTATTGTTAATTCTTAGTTTAGTAAGTTTGAGAATGAGAGGGATTTACATCCACTTCAGATTGAACCTTGAAGTACTTAAAAGTACTTGGGGGGAAAACTAAGGTGGCAGTTTCTTGGGAATTTTTTTTAGAAAGAGCTATAAGTGAAAAATTGACGTTACCAAATTGTGCTTTCCTAAATAACATTTTTGAGAGCATTTTAACATCAGTTCACAGATACATAAATGTTAAAGCCAGAATCTGATTCTTTTACAAAAAAATTTTTCTTTTTAATTTGTTTTTGGTCTGCTTTCAAACAAACATGTTGATAGGGCTCTTACAATAACTTGAGAGAAAACAAAAAGCTTCTAAGCAAAAAGTTGAGAAACACTCTGAAAGAAAAAATTGTAACATGATAGACTCATGCCCACAAGAAAAACATGTAGGTCATATATTAACAACATGGCTAGCCTAGCAAATTCAACTCTGGTCAGAAAAACTAAACACTTATCAAACATTCCACATCTGGAATCTTTAAATTTGTTATTTGCTGACTAAACTGTGATCAGATTGTATAGAAGCATTTCAGAATATTTGAATATAGAATATTATGAAGTGCCACATACTCTGGTTAAATCTTCAGTATACAGATATGTTAGTATGATTCGAGTCGAAAGGTAGGGAACACTAAGAAAACTGAATAAATAGCATACCAAAATTTCCTTGTGTTCATTAGAATAAAACATTCAGAAGTTTTGTGTTTAAAGCCATCTTTGTGACTGAATTTTTCAATTACATTTGGATTTTTAGTACATTTAATTTTAATAAAATAAGGAGTCTAGCAACTCTGTGGTGAACCACATTTTAAGATGTAATTAGTTCTTGCTGTAGGAATTAACATTCTAAAATTTTATATTGATTATAAATAAGAATTTATAGAACACATAATCCTGTTCATTGAATTTTGGCACAGTTGCCACTAAACGTATACACTGGTAGTTCATAATTTATTAGCAAACAAATCATTTCTGGCTATAATGTAATATTCTTTAAAATTCTGAATACTAATACCAGTTGTTTCAAATTTCCAAGTGATGACTTTTCTGACATAAGACCTGATTATCATCAGAATGTGGTGGTTTCAGTCTGGAGGTAGATCTCTGAGGAACATAAATAAAAGGGAGAGAGGGTCCAAAGAATATTACTGTGGGGAGATCTCCTTGGTGGAAACTGACACCTTTAGATCTCATATTCTCCAGCTATGAAATATAGGCAGAAGTTCCCTACAAACTAGTTTGAGACAAAACCAAAACCCGTATGTAATGAAGGGTGAAAGTTTGCACTACTAGTTTATCAAAGGCCCACATGACAACTCAATAGGGAAAATCTTTCCTCTAAATTACAGAGTCAACACTGATTTTCTAAACAATTCAAAAACATTTTGTTTTGAAATTTTTGCTATTTTGCTCAATATAGTACTAGAAGGAAATGTTATCTAGATTTCATTTGGGGAGGTGAAACACCTTTGAGAGCTTGCACTGGTTTGGGTAATATTCCAATTCAAAAAGTCTCACTTTATGAGAAAGTCCATGCTTTAACTTATTGATGGTATTAGAGCTGTATTTGGGTGGTTTTTAAGGCTAATCCCTGTTGTATCAGTACTTCATTCCTTTGTGTGGCTGAATATTATTCCATTGTATATACCATATTTTGTTTATCCAAATGGACATTTGGGTTGTTCCTGCCTTTTGGCTATTGTGAATAATGCTGCTATGAACATTTGTGTACAAGTTTCGTGTGGGCACGTTTTTAATTTTTCAGTTATAATCTAAGAGTGGTTGCTGGGCCATATGGTAATTGTGTTTAACTTTTTGAGAAGCTGCCAAAATGTTTTTCACAGCAGCCACACAATTTTACATTCCCACCAGCAGTGTATGAGCTTCGATTTCTCCATATCCTCACCAACTTATTTTACATTTTTAAAATTTTAGTCATTGAAGTGGATGTGAGGTGGTATCTTTACTATGTATTTTAAACTTTAGTCCGATTAGTTATGGTGTTGCAGTCATGAACTAGATTATTCACAATGGATTATACAATCTCCTATGTTTTTCCAGACAGCTCATCTTCAGCAGTTCCTACTTTTACAAGCTTGTGTCAAGTTAGGTCAGTCTCGTTGCTTCTTTTGAAGATTTGGGAAGAAAAATGTTCTACACACACACAAGTCCTGGAGTGTAAATAAATTAGAATTAGAAGTCTAAGATTAAAAAAAAAAAAAAAAAAGTA